GTGTGTGTATGAATGAACTTCCAATATTTCTGATTCGCTCATTGACTATATTCCGATGTTAATTATGCTTCCAACACTCATTATCTTTCACTGATATGTTGCAATGGTCTCTTATCATTTACTTCATATGCACACAGTAACCACCATATCCACCTCCATTTTGACTTCTAGTTAAACAGTTCCTTAGCTTCTGTAAGTTAAAATACAATATTGGATACATTTTTCTCCAGTATGTTAGAGAAAAATCTTCTAGTCTAAAGGTATGGTCATATGGACAATCCTATGAATATACCTCACGTCATATAAACAGTTGCCAAAATATGAGATAAGAAATGCTTTCAGAAGTCTGCAGTACCAGGCCACTGATTTGTTTTGGAAGTAATTTGGCTATCCGTTAAATTTGCAGTTAAATTGGCCCTTTGTACAATCCTGGCCAAAAGTTTTGAGAATGGCACAAATATTCGTTTTCACAAAGGCTGCTGTTTCAGTTTGTATGATGGCAATTTGCATATACTCCGGAATGTTTTGAAGAGTGATCAGATCAATTGCAGTTAATTGCAAAGTCCCTCTTCGCCATGAAAATGAATTTAATCCCCCAAAAAACATTTCCACTGCATTTCAGCCCTGCCACAAAAGAACCAGCTGGCATCATGTCAATGATTCTCTCGTTAACACAGGTGTCAGTGTTGACGAGGACAAGGCTGGAGACCACTCTGTTATGCTGATTGAGTTAGAATAGCAGACTGGAAGCTTTAAAAGGAGGGTGGTGCTTGAAATCATTGTTCTTCCTATGTTAACCATGGTTACCTGCAAGGAAACGCATGCAGTCATTATTGCGTTGCACAAAAAGGAATTCACAGGCAAGGATATTGCTGCTGCTAAGATTGCACCTAAATCAACCATTTATCAGATCATCAAGAACTTCAAGGAGAGAGGTTCAATTGTTATGAAGAAGGCTTCAGGGCGCCCAAGAAAGTCCGGCAAGCGCCAGGACCGTCTCCTAAAGTTGATTCAGCTGCAGGATCGGTGCACCACCAGTGCAGAGCTTGCTCAGGAATGGCAGCAGGCAGGTGAGGTGAGAGTGCATCTGCATGCACAGTGAGGCAAAGACTTTTGGAGGATGGCCTGTTGTCAAGAAGGGCAGCAAATAAGCCACTTCTCTCTAGGAAAAACATCAGGGACAGACTGATATTCTGCAGGTACAGGGATTGGACTGCTGAGGACTGGGGTAATGTAATTTTCTCTGATGAATCCCCTTTCCGATTGTTTGGGGCATCTGGAAAATACTTTTTCCGGAGAAGAAAAGGTGAGCGCTACCATCAGTCCTGTGTCATGCCAACAGTAATGCATCCTGACACCATTCATGTGTGTAAAGGTTCCTTCTCAGCCAAGGAAGTGGGCTCACTCACAATTTTGCCTAAGAACACAGCCATGAATAAAGAATGGTACAAAAACGTTGATTATGCAAGACATTGATTATGCAAGAATGGGCTGCCATCATTCAGGATGTGGCCCAGAAGTTGATAGCATGCCAGGGCAAATTGCAAAAGTCTTGAATAAGAAGGGTCAATACTGCAGATATTGGCTCTTTGCATAAACTTAATGTAATTGTCAATAAAAGCCGTTGACGCTTATTAAATGCTTGTAATTATACTTCAGTATACCATAGTAACATCTGACAAGAAGAGCTTAAAACACTGAAGCAGCAGACTTTGTGAAAATGTAATAATTGCTTAATTCTCAAAACTTTTGGCCAGGACTGTATATGGCAACTGTGGATGTTGATGGCTCCCGGCTTTAGGGTAGGGATAGGTGAGTGATTAAATATCTTTGCTACTGAGCGATTAAAATGCTTATTGCCAGTACACTGATTTGTAACACACTGAAATCAATGTGTTGCTAATGAGATGTGTGGCAGCAAGTAGTTTAAATCTTTCAGCAGCAAAGAGATTTAATCGCTCGTGTAGCCCTAGCCTTACAGAATGCTTTAATCCCTACTTTTAAAATAATCGTATCTTCTGTCCTATGTTTTGTAGATGTTTAAATACTAACTGCATCCTTTATTGGAATGACTGCTATTTATATATAGCTTCCATTTAATTAGTTTGTATGCTGAAACAAAATGTTCTATTAAATAGCTTGGAGGTTTAATTTCATACTAATATACCCTACATTCACGTCTCTTCCGTTCACTATGGCATACATCATATCTTTTGGTCTCTTCTATTCATGTTGGCCTACACCTTTTTAAAGTGCAAGTTCACCTCTAAAAACAAAAATTTATATCGGCTGTACTAATGGTTTCATTATATGCAGAAAGTAAACCTATGCTTTAACCATGCAGTGCAAAGCAATAGGGTTTACTTTGTGTGTGTGTATATAATGCATATTTTAGTTTTGGATAGAGTAAGGAGGAGGTAAAATCCTTGACTGTTTATTATTTGCGTTCTGTGTTCTGAGATTTTCCTTTCCCAATGATGCAACAGGAAGCAAGAAGAAATGTCCATTAAGTGTTGGGAGTTCCCCACTTTAACATTTGTCACTCATGTTGCCATTGGAAAATTTCCGCTTGTTCTGGTTACCACTATAGATTTTTTAATTTCCAGCACTTAGTGTATCAGTGACAGTGGTCACCAGGACAAATGGACTGGGTGAAGCTACCTAACTGGAGCACAGACGGCAATAAAATCTTCACAGGGGTTCCCATACATCATTTAAAGCCTGCCCCATTTCATCTTTACTTGCCTTCCCCTTGAGCAAAGAGATGTGGCCCTGTGTAAGCTCCAGTGGGAGCTTACGCAGGGCTGGGGGACATCTCTGCCTCTTTGCTGAAGCTCTGGTACCTAGGTGGCCACTATACCAGAACTAATAGGTATCCTACCTCTCTTCACTCCTGGCATATCAGCAGTGGGAGTGAAAAGAAAGATAAATATATTCAGAAGGGGAACCAGGCACTTAGAGCTGCATCAACTAATCGACTAAATCAATTATGAGAATAGTTCCAACTATTCTCCTGATCGATTAGTTGGTTAGAGAGCGGTTTTTTATACAACTAATCGATTAGTTGGAAAAATAATCGGGTAACCGATAATGAAAATAATCATTAGCTGCAGCCCTACAGGCACTAAAGTGCATTTATGTGCATGGACAAAGCACAAGTTTGCCTGTAAAGCATAAGCCAGCAGTAGTGCATAGAAAGAAAAAAAACTTTACATATGAAAATTAAAAATTAGGGCTGTACATCAATGTTTTCTTCTAAAATTGGTTGTATTGCTTCCAATTTGAAAGGTGCAACCTAGGAGGTGTAATTCTGAGGCTCTATTTGTTGACTCTGCAGAATAATGCAGAGGTGCACCATGCATTAATCAAGCTGTATGGGTGGACGTGGTATTGATGTCACTGGAGGGTTCTACTACCAGTGGCAAAATAACTGCCATTTTATTGCACCTCCACCCTTATGCCAGTTAGAAACCATTACAAACATCAAGACCGAGATTTATCATGAATGCTGACTGCAGTGCAATAATGTAAGAGGCAAGGCACATTAAGTAAAGGTAAATATTGTTACAGAAACATAACTTTCCTTGATATCCACTTTAATTTTAAGTACATCCTTTGTATATTTTTAAATGGCTTATGCTTTTGGCACTATTTGATGCCTTTTTATTGTGACTTGGGAGAGTTTAAAGTGAAAAAAATGTCCCTGCGTGTAATGTTATGTTCTCTATTAGGCTATGTATCACTTGCAGGTTCGAGTTGGGTTAGGACAGGGGTGCCCACAATTGTTTGTGTTAAGATCTACTTTTCAAATGACGAGCTACATGAGATCTACCAACGGAAAAAAAAAACACCCTCGCTCTCTCTCTCCTTGCTGTCTTTCCTCATTTTCTCTCCTGGCTGTCTCTCATTGCACTCTCCCCTGCCGGTCTCTCCTCTCTTTCCTGTCTGTCTCTCCTCTCTTTCCTGTCTGTCTCTCCTCTCTTTCCTGTCTGTCTCTCCTCTCTTTCCTGTCGGTCTCTCCTCTCTTTCCTGTCTGTCTCTCCTCTCTTTCCTGTCTGTCTCTCCTCTCTCTTTCCTGTCTGTCGCTCCTCTCCCCTTTCCTGTCTGTCCCTCCCTCCCTCCCCTGGCGGTCTCTCCTCTCTCCTCTCCTGGCGGTCTCTCCTCTCTCCTCTCCTGGCGGTCTCTCCTCTCTATCCCATGGCTGTCTCTCCTCTCTCTCTCTCTCTTTCCTGTCTGTCTCTCCTCGCTCTCTTGGCTGTCTCTCCTTGCTCTCTCCCCTGGCGGTCTCTCCTCTCTCTCTCCTGGCGGTTGCTCCTCTCTCTCCTTGCTGTATTTTGCAAACAGTGTAGTGCAACAGACTGTGTAAACTAATATTCTTTGATGTAATACATAGCACTTCAACCACCAGTATCCACCAGAAAGGTGTCAGGGAGCTTGGCTCAGCAGACTCAGGCTAATAGGTAATCATGTGTGCACAGCTAAATAAATATACCAAAATGGAATAAAGGGGCCGCCATTCACACCCTTCGTGATCTACCAGCATCAGCTTTGAGAGCTACTGGTAGATCACGATCTACCTAATGGGCACCCCTGGGTTAGGATGATCCCTGCAGCTATGCCATGACAAGATAACACATTTAAGGTAGCAAGATCTGAAATTGTGTTATTGCAACAAAGCAAATATTGATCAAGAGGAAAGTAAAATACTTTTTCAAGCAATGAAACAGTTGTAACAAATTTGTTATAATTGGAAAATGTTAAGGTGAACTTGCTCTTTAAGCCTTTTCGTGTCTTCTTTCTACTGTCTGTGCTGCTTTTGTATGAGAGAATGCTGCATGTGTGAAAGAAGTTGTGTTGCCCCTGCAATGCCATTGTTAATCAGTTTATATAGATTCACAGTGCCTTTGTAGGGGTCAGTGAATTTCTGCATGCAAAGTATGATGCTTGTCATTTTTCTAATGATGATTATTTTCCTTTTGAACCTTGGGAACGCTTGTTAGGTCAACAATGCGACAGCTCGTGTGATGACCAATAAGAAATCTGTAACACCTTATGGAAATGGTGAGTGTTTACGTATATGAAAAAATGTGCATATTGACCGATAAAAAAAAATAAAAAAAAAAGATCCATGGGCCAGATGGAGGTGTTGGGTGTGTCTAGTGTTCTATTTGGTTTTGGCATCCCCATAACTTTTTTCTCATGCCATACATCATGTTTAACAAGTGGAAGTTGTTATTTACCTGTTGTTGGAGGAATGTAATTTTGTACATGCCTTCTTAAGAGGGACACTGAACAGAGATGCGCGCATGCACTGCAGTTAGAATAGGCAGATGGGAAGAAGGAAACAATTAGGTGTGAAAGCGATAAAGCCAGGTCTAGCTTTGACAGTAATTCCAGGCATGTATCCACTATCGTTTCTGCCATTGTGCCCTGTCATTGCTGTTTTCGCCATACTGGCCACAGAACCAGTCTTTGCGTTAAAATATTTTCAGCCCTATCTGCCATACCAAGTACACTGCCAGAGCCATGACAGTCCAGTGCCATTATGGGCACCCTGAAGGAAAGCAGACCAACCATGATGCAAGGTAGTGCTGGAAAATTTGACTAAAATCTTGCTATACTTAAGGGCTATGGCCCCATCGCAAGGTACTTCTGTGGTATGTTGGACTCTTCTGGCATGAGGACAGACGAACCCTTCTTCAGGTTGTTTGGGAGGCTGTTGGCAGTAAGACCAGTATGATCATGAAGAGGCAGCAGCGGTGACATCACTAAGATACTGAAGGCTATCAGCAGCATCAAACATCTTTTCATCCTGCAAATATCAGGATATCAAGAGGAAATTTAAGAAACTCCCGCAGTAGAAGTACAGGTAAGCAATACTTAATCTATATTTATTTAAAGTACTTTCATGTTGATTAAGACATTATGCAAAATCTATGTTGCATCAATCCTCACCAGTGGTGACTATTACAAGCAGGCTTTCTTCATTAAAAAAATTCTAAGTCTGTCACTGGGTTGTACAAAAGACCAGCAGAAACTTAAAAGGAGAACTATGAGGTGAGTGATTTTCCCTCAGCCTCATAGTTCGAGCCGACATGTGACAATGAAACTGTCACACGTCGGCTCAATAGATTGGGAAGTGAGCGAACACATACCGTCGCTCGCTCACTTCTCGATCATGTCCCTGCAGAGAGCCGTGACTGTCACGGCTCCCTGCAGGGATTCCACCCCCTCCCCACTCCGATCCTCCAGTGCTGACTGGCGGAACGGGAGGGGGAGGGTACAGCTGGCTCTGCCTCTACATGGGCAGAGCCAGCTGTCAATCACGCAGCTGGGTGGATCTCGACAGAAATGTCGGGATCCGTCCCGGCTGCGGCGATCTCGGTATACCGCAAGCTGTAGTAGTTCTCCTTTAACAGAGGCAAGTACAACGCCAAGTAAAAAGTTATACATATATTTTATCAGTAAACTAGGTTTTTGTTTTTTTCCAAACATACAAAAGTTAAAAAGTTAAATCACTTTTAACTAGCATCAGCTGATGTGGGAAAAAGCTGGTGTTCATTGGATAAAGTGAATCCTCAAAAGAGGAAACTACTAGAGGTATGGTTTTTAATAGCTTTTTACAGGCAAATGTTTAGCCAGCTGTCACAGATGCATAGTGTGTGTGTGAGCTGCTTACCATGTTCATGTAGTATAATATTTTGTGAGCTATCTAAATAGCTTTTAGATAGTTAAATAGCCTTTCTAAATAGGTATATTTGTTGATTATATGATTTCCCTACTTGTATATAATGTATCCATATTCATTAATGTAAATCAGTACAATGTAGGATCTGTATGTACAGTATCTTAAAACACAAACCACGTGGGCTAGCATTTCAACTATATTCTGGAGAGTACATTGGCTTAGTGATTAGCACTTCTGCCTTTCAGCACTAGAGGTCAAATCCCAACCAGGACACTACCTGCATGGAGTTTGCATGTTTTCCCTGTGCCCCTTCTCTCATTTCCTCAGGGTACTCCAGTTTCCTCCCACATGCCAAAGACTTGCTGGTAGCTTATTTGACTCCTGTGTAAAATGGCCCTAGTGTGTATGTATGCATGTGAGATTGTAAACACTTTGAGGGCAGGGACCGATGTGAATATGTCTTATGTAAAGTGCTGCGTAAATTGTAAGCACTATATAAATACCTGTATTCAAATAATATTCAGTGGGGCCATTCACACCTGAGCATAGTGTTTGAAATTTGAAGCTTGACACTCAAAATCATAGCTCAGTTACATTTGGAGAAGGGTCACACAGTTTGGCCCCAATAGACTTCAGTGAGAGCACCTGGAAAACGTAAGTAGCTTTCCATTGGCTAAAAATAATTGGTTAAAAGATGCTCAATCCTGAAATGAGTTCAAAAACACCTGTACAAATGCTCAAAAGATTAAACGACCAGAGGTTCAGCTCAAGTGTGAAAGGGGCCGTAATGTATATAATAGATGTACAGTATACGATCATTACCTGTTGTATAATTGCTACAGTAAGATTGCAGTGCTTCTTGCTGTCAGTAAAGTCAATCAGTGGCTTTACCTGCACACAGATCTCTCTAGAAGAGCTTTGTGCACTTTACCCTTGTACTTTGCACTGTTTTATTGGACAATAAAAAACATGAATTATTACAATTCTTGTCTGATATTTACCATATTAAAGGATTAAAATATCAACTGAACAAGGCCAATGTAACATTACACATGTGGACTGCTTATAGACAGTATTATTCAATAAATCCGTGCATTTTGGACTCCATAGTTCTAAGCTTGCAGGGCCAGAGGGTCACTTTTTTTCCTTTTGGCTCCCATTTCCTTTCAACAGAAACCATGGCTTAGTAATATTTTATGTAAACCTCTCTATAAACATGCACATCCATGTTGACCAAATTACCTTTTTTTTTTTTTTCTCTCTTTACAGTTCTTTCATGTCAACCACATTGGACACTTCTAGTGGCACTCAGCCTAGAAAATGTTCTGTTCCACTGCATTTGCCAGTGTCCTCGTATCCCACTTCTTCTAATATTCAGACAAGTCTAACGCTCTAAAAAGGAAGTGCAGTCTGAGGGCACAGTCACACCATGTCTAGACCAGATCTGCACGCGTTTCTGTAACCGCGGTGCGTTTGTGACACGTTCCAGTGCGTTTTCTTTTGTTTTTGGGGGCAAATGTAATTATGTAAATTAATCTCTTCCTGCTCCATGTCATAGTTCCATGTTGCGTTCCAGTGCGGTGCGTTTGTGACGCATTCAGGTGCGTTCCAGTGCAGGAAAAATGTGACAGGCAGCATTTTTTTTCCCTGCACTGGTATGGACTGGACTGGTGTGAACAGAGCCCAAAAATCACATACAAATGCATTGGGATGCATTTTTGGTGCAGAAGAAAAATGTAACATACCACATCTGATCCGGATATGGTGTGACTGGGCCCCCAGGGTTTTCTATGTCCAATCCATAGATACAAATGAGAATGTATACAAAATCACTCTCCCCTGAAATTCATAGCGTCGTAGACACTCATTAAAAATATTTCTCATCTATTAACAATTTTGTATCTCGCAACAGATTCAAGTAACTGTTAGTAAGGAGTACAGTATATAAACCTGTTGCAGAATTTTTTGACAGAATTTTGTACTGCACACTATACTTGCATTTGCAACACTATTTACTCCAACATGGAATAGGTCTTATTCGCCTCCAGAAAGTTAGTGTTGCATACCGTAAATGCCTGAATTTGAAGTGTCAGAAATGGCAAGCAATCTGTCTCAAGGATTTCATGAATCGACAGAGGACTTTCTAACAATACCATAATGCCACCAGAAAAGTGCTCTTGCCGTCAATCAAAATTGCTGATTGGCTTGTTTTTCTCGTCAGAGAATGCCCTATTAAGTGCTTGTACAAAGTGGGTGGCATGCATCTCACTCCTTTCTGCTGCTTGACGACAAAGTTTAGACACTCACCAAATTGTCCTATTCTTCCGTCCTAAAACCCTAATGACAGTAGCAGCAGCAGTGTGACTGAAACTGGACTCTCCCTTGTTTTCCCACTGAAGTACACATAGGGTCATGCTGACAGTCACCAATGCCTGAGGCCGTCACACAATCAAAGATCTGTCACTGCTGACATCAACTCAGTCCTTTAAACCTCTTCTCTTGGGCTGCCTCTGCTCTGCCTGTAAGTACTAGGGTAGCAGGAAGATGCCAATTGGCACCGCTGGCTAGTCTTCTAATTACACTGTGCTTGAAGATCTTGGAACTGCGCATGTGCAACGCAAAGAGCAGATAGCTGCAGTTTCTTTATAAACACTTCACCCCGTCACAGACATTATGGACTGGAGCAAGGGGTGTGTTTTAAGAGACTGTCCAGAGCACATGCTGCCATTTTTCTGCACCCCAGCTCCTATGTTTTCATGCATAGTTGAGTCGCTTAGCCTTCTTTCCACATCTGAGGTATGACTTTGTGGCTGCAAGGCCGCAGAAAAATGGCACAAGATGCCCTGGACTGAAATTTTAAATATTTGGCTATAGCAGGAGGCATTTTTTATGCGGGCAGGAGAGCGGTATAATGAGCACCTGCAGGCAACCATGAAGCATGGTGAAGGTTCCTTGCAAGTCTGGGGCTGCATTTCTGCCAGTGAAGCTCGAGATTTGGTCAAAATCAATGGTGTCAATGCTGAGAAATACAAGCAGATACATATCCATCATGCCATACCATCAGGGAAGCGTGTGATTGGCCCCAAATTTATTCTGCAGCAGGACAACAACCCCAAACATACAGCCAATGTCATGAAGAACTATCTTCAGCGTAAAGAAGAACAAGGAGTCCTGGAAGTGATGGCTCGGCCCCCACAGAGCCCTGATCTCAGCATTAAGTCTGTCTGGGATTACATGAAGAGACAAAGATTTGAGGCCGCCGACATCCTCAGAAGATCGGTGATTAGTTCTCCAAGATGTTTGTAACAACCTACCTGCTGAGTTCCTTCAAACACTGTGTGCAAGTGTACCTAGAAGAATTGATGCTGTTTTAAAGGCAAAGTGTGGTCATGCCAAATATTGATTTGATTTGGATTTCCCTTCATTTACTTTCCATTTTGTGTATGCCTGAAGCCTGCATGAAAAATTCCCATATAATCATCATTGTGCATCCTGCCTTGTTGCTAGGATGCGCTATATATTGGATGCTTGCTCCTAGCATCACAGGAACGAGTGCTCTCCTTTTTTTCAAAAACCGTGCATGTGCAGTGTGCTCAGCATTGCTGCAACCTGTGGGAGTGTGGTGTCGCACTGCACGAGTGCAATTTTTTGAAAAAAGAGAGCGTGCTTGCTCCTGTGATGCTGGGAGGGAACATCAACACATAGCATTTGCACAAATGATGTAAAAAGATTGTTGAATACCCGTAATCCTAACTATTCAGATGTGCCTGATACAACCTTGTTAAAACCTCCAGCTGGAAGAATTGTCCTCTTCAAATACATAAAATCATTACCTTCTGTTGACATCATAGAACAACCTGTTTAATTCAATAAGCAGCTATATTTCATGTCATTTTTATTTTCTTATGCTCTCCTACTCCTTTTTCTTGACTGTATTATTTTCCAGGTATTTGTTGGTTTTGCTGTAATGTTTAAAAATACAAATTATAAAAAGCATGAAAAAGCACAATTCACAAGATGAATATATTGAATGTGTGACAATAAACATTGCCTTTGCAATAAAAATATGTACTGTGTGCAAGTTGTATGGGGAAATGAAAACCGTTAAACAATTGCATCACATCATGCATTTTTTCTAAGGATCTAACCCCTATTATATTAAACGTGTCATGACAGAAATATGGGGGCTACTATTGCTCACCTGCAAAAATAACATCCTGGCTGTCTCTGGCTTTAATATCTTCTCAGAAAAAGTATGTAGGAAATGCAGTCAGAATTCCTGATATGCATACCAATTTTAATGCTATCCATGCACTTGACACTGTTGAAACAATCGCACACAATGTCGGTCAATGTTTTTCAAAATTAAATGAAAGACAACAACCATGTAAGTGTATGAATAGCATATTATTGCTGAAGTACACCTTGTCTCAAATTTCCCTTGGATCCTGAAGACTTTACTTGAAACAAAAATGGCTACACACCTTTAGTGACTTAATTCAGTTGTGTCCACCCAGATACTTGCAGTATAATTATTTATCTTTAAATGATCTTCATTTTTTTTATTTTAAAATTATTTTCCAGTCATACAGTAACAGAATTTATGATGGACATACATGGCTCGATTGTCTCTCATTCAGAAACACATGGATAGTGGAATCTCCACTGCTGGTTATCATATTCAGCAGGTCTGGAACCCCCAGCAGCCTGAATACATTTGCGCTTCCGAACAGTGACTGCATCTAATAGGATAAAGTCACAGTTTGGCTGATATTGTCCACCCAGCTAAGTCAATTTTTAAATTGACTTTTGTTGAGCTAGGTGGTGTTTGCAGGGGCACCCATGGCTCAAATTTTGAGCAGTCTGTGGCCAGCCTTAATAAAATGTTATGGAATAGGGTCAGATTGGCAGAGAAAAAGGATCAGTACTTTTGAGTCAGAGTCTCTGCCCCATACATAGGTGCTGGCAACTAACATGCTGACAGGAAAGAGAAGAGAGATTACCCCACACATCTTCAGCTCCTTTATATTCCATTAACAGGGCGAGGATGGGGGGCCAAATTTAAATAAAGTATAATTAAAGCCTCTGTTTTGTTTTTTTTTTTCATATATCTACTGCTAGCAAGCAGTAGGTATATGCAAAAAGTGTGAAAAAAATATATAAACAATATAAAAGAGGTTAATACTTACCTGTGTCTTCCCCGCGCGATCACGTCTGAAAATGTGAAAGTTCTCGGGCGGCCGCAAAGCATCTTGGGGTGGGCGCATGCGCAGTTCACATTTTCGGCCGGGAGACAGGAGAGACGCAAGGTAAGTGTATGGACAGCGTGCAACCTCAGGCAGACACCGTGGGACAGGAAGTGCCAGCAAGGACAGAGGAGTCCGCTCTGGATCGGAGACTCTAGCAGCGCTGGAGGGACAGATGAAAAGGACAGGAAAGAAGATCGGATTAAGAAACATCATTTAAGGTAAGTGCTTTAATTAACGTTGGGGGGGAGGGAAAAATGTTTTTACTTTAATGTCACTAACTGTAGTAAAGAAAACGCAGGTCACCAACTTGCCTGTGCTGGTTGACAGGACTGTTTACATTTTAGGACTGGCTAGACAAAATTACAAATCCTTTGGACAGGTAAAACCACTTCCATATGTATATTTCAACTGTGTATCAGTTCTGCTTTAACTAAATCAATTTATTACCATTAAACCGTTCTAAAACCATGCCAGAATGAATTTCTTTTTAGCAGGAAGAATTCACTTTGGTGTGTACTGTGTATGTGTATTTTCCAAAAAATATTTTTCGTTTTGGATAGTCGAGATTTGTTTTAACACCAATGAGGTTATTTATGCTGTGTCTCCTTTTGGAAGAGATTACCCTTCACTTCCGGTTCAGAGACTCAACAAGGTAGTCTATGAACAAAGTGTGAGAAATCCCCTATAACATTTTGAATTTCCCTTCACCTTTAGTCATGGTGGTCACCAAGGCAAATGGAGAGAGTAAACCACCTAAGCAGAAATGCAATCAGCAATAAAAACCTTACATTTCCACACTCTATCCAGTTCTGGTCACCAGTACTAAGAAAAGATGTCCTTGAGTTGGAAAAAGTCCAGCGAAGGGCAACCAAACTAATTAGGGGTATGGAGGACCAGAGCTACGAGACGAGACTACTAAATTTAAACATGTTCACATTAGAAGTGAGGAGATTAAGGGGGGATATGATTTCCATGTACAAAATGTTTAATGGTGGTAGCAACATTAGCGATAAACTGTTTAAAATTAACTCCGTTACAAAAACTAGAGGCCATCACCTAAAATTGGTGGAAAAAAAATTCCAGCACAAGGGGCGAAGGGGGTTCTTCACAGTAAGATCAGTTAGGGTCTGGAACTCACTGCCACAGGTGGTGATTTCAGCAAATAATGTGGAATTGTTCAAGAAACTTTTGGACGATTTCTTAAGGGACCGTAATATACAGGGGTACGAGTACTCCTAGAATGAGATCCTAATAGGTTGGACTTGATGGACTAATGTCTTTATTAAACCTCAAATACTATGTAACTATCCAAAACTTTAAAAAAAACCTTGGTTTAGTAATCTGTTTTAATAAATCTTACTGTTGATGTATTTTAAGCATATACTTTCTACTATATATGGCATGCTTAGTTATTAGGGCAGACTGCTAGCTGGAAAATCATTTCATAGAGAGGTCACCTAAGATATACAGTGTTGGCTAAGCTGAATAGCATAATGATCTCTCTACCTGGATTCTAGGCATTAGTAAAGATCCTTAAAGAGAATTAATGTTCTGCTTTGTTAAATCATATTCGCATTGATCCCTTTTTTGTCTTTCAGGCTGGAAACTTAGTCCCATGGTAGGAGCTGTATATGGACCAGAACTCTATGCCGGTAAATTTCTATTGTGATTTTACACTCTAGTTGTGGAAAAAGGGCAAAACCAAGTCAGTTCACACCTCTGTTTAATTTTACACAAGGATACTTTGTGAAAAAAGGTTCCTCTTAAAAAGTAGTCTCTCCACTCCACTACTTTAGGCATGAGTACATTTTCTGTACATACAAATACATATTGGATCCTGCTAAGAACGCAGTGTCCTTGTCACCTCCTTTGCACTGAACTGAAATCTAAATCCATGTCATCAGCTCTCACCTGTTGTGAACTACAGTTCATCTCCCCCGTGTCAGGGGTAGCCAACTTCAGCCCCCCAGGTGTGGTGAAACTACAAATCCCATTGTACATCTGCTTCTGGAAGTCTTGCTATGCTTAATAGGCTAGCTCTAAAGAGTTCTGTAGTTCAAATAAGGGTGACAATGGTAATATTCAGTAGATACAGTACAGTGTATAGTTAGCATGGTCACCCCAGGACAGGCAGTGTGCGATCATCAAAATCACAGATGAAAATTAAAGGCAGGAAAAAACTGAAACAAAAAAAGATGCAGCCTCCACATCTGGACTGGTAGGCTGCAGTGCATGCATTTCCCTTCTGAAATAGGACACAGTCAAATCTTCATTTAATGGAAGGGTTATACCACCATCTACAGGAGTAGGATGCTTGGGGGCAACCTCCAAGCACAGCCTGCTGGTGGTTCAACCCCCCACTTGTTGGAGGCAGCTCAGTTTTTTGCCTTGTGTCCAGGAGAAGGACGCTAGGCAGAAAAACAACAAAGCAAAGGCCTGGGGGTGGCCCCTGCTGGTGGCTCAATCTATATTATCCAGCTTGTCACCCAGCCCAGCTGTTGATTAAAGATCATAAAAAATGAAAGTAAAAGAACGAAGATCCCCAGCAGGCAGCTAGGTCCATACTTGATGCTAGGCAAAAAACTGAGCTGCCTAACAAGTAGGGGGTTGAGCCACTAGCAGGGGCCACCCCCAGGGCTGTGCTTTGTTGTTTTTCTGCCTACCGTTCTACTCCTGCAGGTAGCAGTATAATCTTTGTTAGCGGAAGATTTGACTGTGTCCTTCAATTAACATAGAGAAATGTCTGTTGCCTACTACTAAGGTCTGTGAATTGTCCTTCATTACTAGTGAGCTGGATGAAGAGCAGGGACACTGAAACGGGTTGCTCATTTAGTATGTTGTGGAACTTGGAAATCATTTATTGCTTTGTACTTTTTGGTGTGTGTTTAAAGGGGGATGTTCTTCTGCTAAGAGAATTGTAAAATGAAGAACCAAAATCTATCATCTACATAATACATCTTGACATATCTTAAATTATGATGGCTTTTTTGTGTTGATATTTAAATAAGAATAAGGTTTATATAGATATTTGCAGTATAAACATGCCACAGATAGATGTCTTTTATTTTTGTAAGAAAAAACACAACAGTTGATATAAAGAAGTCTAAACAGCACATATAGAAACCATTATAAAGAGGTTACACCTGAATTTGTTTTGCCCTAAGCATACATAAAGATTATGATTCTATTCTTTTTACTACCTGGTGGGGGAGGGGTGGTCGCTTATAAACAAATGTCTCCTTCTTTCCCACAGTTTTTTTTTATTACTGTATGTATTTTTTTCTTTTAAATTTCCCAACAATCATCCCAAAGCTGCACCTGGGCTCCAAGCTGACGTCTCTTTGGCCACTGAGGCTGGTGTCTCCCTGCCTGGACCAAGGGGGGTTAACACGTACATTCCATTGATCAGTAAGTAGGGAGTGGAAATAGCACTTCTCCAACTTCCCAGAACCCCTCTCTGGCCCCTTTCCTGTCTTCCTGCTCGTATTTGCACGTGCAATTTGTGTTTGCACTGGGATTGAAGGGGAGGAGGAATTGCAGCATATGCATTAAACAGACACAGTATTGTCTTTCTCTGCAGTGCATTAGAAAACTGCCTTCCTGCATCAAAGCATTTACCTTTTCTATTCATTTGTTTAGCAGTTGGGTTGCTTGTAAGAACTCGGTCGTCTTTAGTATATGTATCTTTCTTTCTAGCCCTATTGAATGGAGAGGTACTTGGGACGTAAAAGTTACATGCATATAGTTCACAAGCTGCAAGTATTTGTTTTCGTGAAATGCTTTCTTATGTTGCCACTGGAACAAGAAAAATAGAGCATTTGTTCACAGCAACCTGTCACATTTCTTGTGTTTTTCAGTACAGATTAGAAATAAAAGCTGAAACCGGTTGTTATGAACAACAGTCGTGTTTTGTTTTTTCTGTTTGTTTTTTCAGAATCATTCCCATTTGTTTTGTACCGTGGCTTAGGAGTTTATATATTTACTGGTGTTTTTAGCCAGTCAAGATGGGTTTGGTTAAAGGATATTTAAATCCAAGATTAAAAATGTAATATATTGCAGCTTACCAGTCCTTAGATGTAGTGGCAGCATTCGTTTTAATCTTTCAGACGAAGAATATAGTCATCAAGTGCAGAAAATATCTGTTGATCTTGCAAGAAATTCAGAGTCCTTGTCACTTCCTATGAGCTGAAACCAAAGCACACAGTGTTACCTTCCTTCTGTTATCCAGCCTGGGATTGAGTCCAGTCCATACCATGGCTCCTTCAATAGATAAGAGGGTAGTGAGGTTAGTGTAGCCATCCTATGATGGGAAGTATCGTTGTGTAGGATCATTGGGTGAAAATAAATGGGGGAAAAAAAGTCTTAAAACACTATTGTAGCCACCTCATCACTATGGACTGGTAAGCTAAAATAGATTACATTTTTGTCATTGGGTTTAGATACGCTTCAAGACATCCCACACTTCAGTGCAGTAGTGTTAATTAACACTGGCTGACCATGCAAACTAGTATTTAAAAAGTTTTGTTTCGGCTAAAACAGTATTTTCCCTCTACATAATAATGTAAGCTTACTTCATTGATAAGTAAAAAATCCATTAAAATTTGACGCAGTTTCCAAAAACACAAAGTGCAAGCTAATAACTTTATTGTTTGATACATTAAACTATAGAAACTTTTTGAATTGAACAATGTTTTTGGAAATGTCAACAAGTGAGCTGAATTTTAAAATTTAAGAGGTAATATAGATGATTTAATAGAGGCATAATGGTGCTTTAAAACCAGTTCACTTCTAGTTTGCATTAAATATCATATATTGACCCTGTCACCATACAAAATAATTTTCAGCAA